CGTTGGTGGTGTGAATTATCTAATAATGATCTTTACTTTTCAAATTTTATTGGAAATTATGCTCTTTTTTTTTTTTTTGGATGGCCGTGGATGTTCGGGCCAGCTTGCTCGCACCTCGACGAATTTCACGGGGCCCTGAAGTTTACGGCCGGGTACTCACCTCAGTGGCCCTGAGGGGACTCGAACCGGTGACCGTTGGGAAGCAAACCCAAGACCTGGTCAATTGAGCAAAGATGACTAACGGCGAAAAGGGATGTAGCATCATGATTGAAAAGTTTGAAACACGGGGTGCTCTTGCAGAGCAGTTTGGCTAATAAGCTTACAAAAAGGTGGAAGTTTTTCTTGAAGAGTGAGTAAAGACTGGAAATCTTTTGTTAAAAAGGTAGGTTTTGAATAAAAATCTCAAAGAAAGTTGCTTCTGAAAAAGCTCAAACATGTTTGGCAAGGAAAGTTACTTGGGAAGTTCAGTCATTCCAGTGACTGAGCCCATACAGAAAAATATTAAATTATCACTCAGGAAAAAGTAAAATGGAATTTTGTGAAGGAGAAACGATAGAAATGTGTACAAAGTTCGGCACTTAATTCTTCTTTTTACCAAGTGCATGCTAAGGTGCATACGCTTACTACTACTTATCACGGGAAATATAGCTTCGAATTGTTAACGGAAATTAAAACCAAATGCTCAGTGAATCAGTCAAGTAAGGCTGTGAACCTACCTGAAACCTCTTCTTAATTACATCAAGGGGATGACAAACAGCTTTAGCACATGTTCCAGCAGCTAATCCGCAAAGGAAAAGCTGGACGCTTGAAAGGGCATCATCTGCTTGGCTGACATTGGAAGATCTATATCGGTTCCAAGCCTAGAAGAAAAAGAAAACCTGATAAAGCCCAATCCAAGAAATTTAATTTTTATGTCCTAAGGGAAAAAGGTTATCAGACAGCACTCTCATTGTTTGAAGAAAGACTCTTAACACTCGTGTACAATATATCTCAAAAAAAAAGTTCAGCATCTTCATTTAGAAAGGGGTAAAAACGAAAAAGCAAAATCCACAACTGGCATTGTCGAGCTGACCGAACATGAGAAAATATGATAGCCTTTGCAAAATGATGTCGTTCAGATTATTGGATATGCCAGATCAAGCCTTAAAATAACAAAAGAAAGAAAAGCAAAGCAAATAGATAGATGTACCACGAGGCTCAAAGGAATCAGACATCTCATTTTGTAAACATGATTAGAATATCAACCAGGACAGAGGCATTCTAAGTACTTATATCTTCACAGGCGATGTGTACCTACGTTTGTCCCAGCTTGTGTATGTGCATGCGTGCATGCGCGCGCGCGTGTGTGTGAGAGAGAGAGAGAGAGAACAATAAATATACAGGGGAGAGAATTAAATTTTCACCATTGCCCAGCGTTTAAAAGTATCATAGGTTCCAAACTGCAACCCAGCATATGGGACTATCTCAACAAGTGTAGGTACCAATCCAGCATAGAGCCCTCGGATGCCACGGGTTTCAATTATCCCAACAAATGCCGACCTCATGTTTGGATACACCTAAATATGGATATAGCATCTTCCAGAAGTTATTGATTAATATAATAAAATACACGCAATGATGATGTACAGATGAAATGCCTTCACTTCCAAGTTTCAGCGTAGTACTGAAAAGTTTCTTCACAATATTCAAGGAAACATTAAATGGGAATAACAAGTTAATAGCCAAATAAAGAGGTATTAATTCATATGGAGTATGAACATACTAGACGCTGAATAAATTTATGTTGTTTTTAAACCACAAGCTGTCCATATTTCGGATTTTTATGGCCTCCAATAGGCTTTAAAGCCCGATCAAATTTAGGGAGTATTCCATGCTTTACACCCGGTCTGCAATGAGCCCTGGGGTTAAGTCAAGTCAGGCTTTCCCATTTTCCGTTCAACTACCAAAGTTAGAGCACGTGCCTAGAACAACGATGGGACATGTTGAGCAAATAATTTACTTTCCAATCACTTGTCTTTGAATATTGTGCAACGAAGCCTTGCAACTAACAAGCAAGGTCATTTACTCATTGACTAGTGAATAGCATTCCTTTGATATGGGGCCAGAAGTTTTGCATTATTCTGCCCTATGATGTGGTTCAACTGTAGATAGTCAACATGCTTCTATAAAAAAAAAAAAGAAAGGGGCAACCCAAGAAGGCATCGATTCATTACACACATCTAGATAAAAGAAAGTTTCACTTAGAAACATTCATTAGTGAAATGTCATAATTATAAAAATTTATCACTCTAAACGAATTCAAACATGGGCAGGCCCACACATTTACAGGTGGTCATCTGCACACACACACACAAAACCCCAATAAATAAGTGATAAAAATAGTAGAAAATAGAAAATAAAATAAAGGACCGCTTATACTGATAGCGTACTTAATTCCATGAGACAGGTCCAATACCTTTGGCTCCCCCTGTGAAGCTAAAATTGTTCTTAGAAGATCAAATGGATATGATCCAATGGTGGCTGCACAGCCTGCTAATGCTCCACTAACATAAGAAAGATATGGACTTAAATTGTTATGATCTTCTGCACTAGAGAAAACAATCAACAAATAGCGTGTCAGAAACTGAAAGGCAAAAGGTAAGGAAGTTGATATTCATAAAAGAGTTTTATACATTTCATCTTCAGAAATAGTCTGACACAAATCAGTCCAGGATAAACATGACAAAAAGCTCAACAAAAAGAAAGAATGTCAAGATATAAAGAATGCTTGCTAGAACAAGAAAACCAAGCAAAGTTTTCCCAACAAGAAGAAACAAGCAATATGGTGTTGCTTTCCACCAAAACAATCTAATACCAAAATATAGCCATGTTCAATGACAGAAAGTGAAAGAATTAATTCACTAGGTGTAGCATTTAGCCACATATCAAACTGCATCCAGGAGAGCAGAAACCTTAGAACAAACCTGACTTGGAAGAACCAGAAGCAAATGTCTTGATCTTGTGTGACACCATAAATTGTATTGCCGTATATGGCATAACCATAAGCAGGGCCGGTACATTACCCCTCCAAAAGCCCTGTTACAAACATGAAGTTAGGTGGAGTTGTAGATTATATGTGGATAATAGATATCATCAAATAGTTTGGAAACATAATCAAATAAATATATTCATAATAAACAAATACCGCTAAGCCTTCCTCTCTAAAGATGTCCTTGGTTGCTTGCAGCATACCATTATATTTTGATGGACCATATGCATTTCGCTGAAGCAAAGTCCAGTGTGTAGTGGGTTCCAATTGAACCTGCCCATAGATACCATTTTCAGATAAATTCTCCATGGGCCCACGCCCCCATAATATACATAACTATCAAGAGTCGTTTCAGGCAAGTCAGAACACATAGGGATACTTACAAATTACTTCTTTTTTTATTCCATAGACGCCCAGTACTCATCAGGTAAGACACGGTGATGGAAACTGTTGGTCTCATATGTAGGGAAAAAAAGGAATAGCAAAGAAAGTGATTATCTTTGATTACCTCCTAAGAAGCACTGACACGGACACGTCGACATGCGATTTTTCAAAAAAGTATCGACACGATACGTTACCGACACGTTGATTAAAATAATTTTTAAAATTTTTTTTCTTAATGTTTATTAAAATTTTGATTTATTTTTTATGTCAAAGAAAAAAAATTAAAGGGTTTGAGCAACTTAAAGCTTAATGTAATTGGAATGGGCTGTGTAAGTTTGTATTCCAAAGCATTGTAAAAAAATAATTTAGTAGTTAAAAATGTTGTTCATTATTTGAAATTTGAAATTAGCTTCAATTCTTGTATGACTAAATAAATTTAAAATGTAAATCCATTTTTAAAAAACTTGACCGAATTTAAAATTGGCCTAACCCACTTTAAATTTGGCCAAGCCCACTTTAAAAAATTTGATCCAGTTATAAGATTGAAAATAAACTCATCTTCCACAAAATGTGGTTTCCCATAGGGACTTTCTTCCACCCTCATGCGGCCCCATCAAGTTACTGCAATGGGTGCCAAAAATTTGCTAGAACCCATGAGAGTTGGGGTCTATAGACACCAAAACCCAACTAAATTGGCATGATGGGTTAGTTTTTCATTTCGTCTTTTATTTTTTCGTCTTTTCTGGTAGTCAAAAATCCAAAAAAAATGAAGGTACGTGCCAGTTGACTTGCCGGACACGTATTGAGGACGGTGTCGGAAACGTGTCGGTGTCCGACACCGATACGCCGGAGTTGGGAGTGTGTCCGTGCTTCCCAGATTACCTCTCTCATTGTTTTTTCACCTATAACATGCATCATTCAAAAATGCTGATAGGGTAACGGGGTGCTTTGCCTCCTTGAGGTGATATGTATTCAAAAATCTAAAACTCAGTAAAAGACGAGAAATGAGCCACATCAGGCACAAGTCCTATTAAGTTGAGACATAAGTCTTGACAAATGGAGCTCCAAGCATAAAATTTGAGGCTCTTAATAAAGGCGCAACTATAAGAGTAATACTTGGCCACTTTACTAGACAATATGATGAGCCCCAGTTTGCATATTGGAACCCGAAGTCATCCACACAACATATTGTTTCTTTCCTAGCATTTTAGTAGTTCAACAGTTCAAGGAAAATCCCATCTTTGAAAATCATTACTTGCAATCAAGAAAAGTAAACTAAGGAACAACAGAGGACCAACTCATGATAATACAAACAAACTCAAGCCTTCGATTCTCAGTTACAAGAATGATTGACAAGCGCAAATTATCACCTGGTACAACTAAATGACGTGAACCATATCGAACCAAATTCTCATAAATCAAAAACCACAAATTCACCTAACAATGCAGCACTCTCCCAATAACAAATATGGACAGAAATTTTGACCTGAAATCTGATCTTAATTACGTCAAGTGGCGATGTGATAGTCCTCGAAACAGCACCAGAAATTGCACCAGCTGTTGCATCAATCGAAGCCCTATTCAGCTGCCCTGGCTCTTCCATCCCCTCCTTTAATACAATACAACAACCTGCGAACAATCCCATTCTCAAATCCCTTCAGTTCTAAAGGATCCTAAATTTGCCCATTCGCCACCGAACAGAAAAGAAACTACCCACATGCCCAAAAAGCATAGCAAATGTATAATAACTCCAAATATGCATCCTTTCAATAAAAATATGCTCCAATTTTTAAGAAAGTAACTAAAAAATGAAACAAGTCTGGGAATAATACGAATAATTTTAATAAAATGTATATATGCGCTCCAAGAAACAAGAAATTGAACGAAAATATCTTTTTTGACGTCAAAAATATAAAAAATTACCAGCAACGAAGGGAGAAATGAGCCAGAAGCCGTCATTGATAATTCAAGAGATATATGTTTTTTTCTAATCTTATAAAATATATGATATACGGTCTGTATGTATAGGTTTGTGTGTGGAGAAGTGGTTTTGCCGCTGTAATTAGAGCAAAGCGGCTAATTAGAGAGAGGGGGGACAGGAGGAGAGATTTTGTATATTCAAGGAACAAAAGTATAGGGGGAAATATTCGTATTTTTTAGAACATATGGGGTAATTTGTAAATGAATCTTTTTACTGGTTTGACTGGGAATTATTGCCTGTTACTGTTAGGTTTGTGATTCTTGTTGTTCTTTCGTTTTCTTATTGAACAAGTTGTATTTGAAACTTTTAGAACATTCTCATATTAGTGTGAGTTCCACTAATTAATTAACTTTTACAACATTCTCATTTTAGTGAGTGGGGCCCACTAATGAGTCTTGGTGTATAATCATTAGAGTGTTGTAACTTTTACAGCACGCTTACATTAGTATACTTAATCATTGTACCAATGGATTTTTTCTTTCTTATTAATTGAAGCTAATGAGTATGGATAGGTGTTTCAAATTGTTTTACTGAATGATTTGTTATTCGATCATATTTAACGCTGTAAAAAAATTTATTTACTTTCAGAAATTAGGGGACCAATGAATGTAAATAAAAAGATCAAGCTCAAAGGTTTCGTGAGCCAACTCATATTTTTCATATTATTTTCTCTAAATCCAACATACTTAGAAGATGTGCACATACCACTACTCCGACCATCTGCATCATCTATATCTTATGCTTCAATATCTTAGGCCATGTTTGGGAGAAATTTTAATCAAGATTTTAATCAAAATTCTAGTCGTTAACTATCAAATCAGCTACCATTTTTTACTTTATCTCTCACAGGTGGGCCCACAGGTTGACTATAACGGCTATAATTTTGATTAAAATTTCACAAAAATTGCTCTCAAATACGCTCTTAATATTATATTCTTCACACAAGATTGAAACCTTGAAATTTTCAAAGTAAAAAGGGGTTAGAGTATAATATGTAGGTCAAATTGTAGTTTCCGATTGTACCAATTACCGGGCCAATACTCGGCCCAGATTTTTATTTGTTGGCAGGCCCATTTTGTTACCCTAAATTCCTCTTTTAATGTAGATGCAAAACTCAACCGAAGACAAAAACCCCAGATAGGGCTGAGGTTTTAAGCGCGCGCGAGGGAGAGAGTTTTCGAGGTCGCCACCATGAGGCCGCTGGACGAGAAGGAGACGACAGTAGTTTTTGACAAGCTATACAAATTTGTAGGAAACAATCTGCAAAAAATTGTGATGGAAAACCCATCCTATGAGGGACCCGACCCGAACCCAGGACGCTACTGCTTCCGCCTCCAGAAGAACCGGGTGTACTACGTGTCTGAATCATTAGTCAAACGGGCCACCAACATCAAGCGGGAGAAGTTGGTGTCTATGGGAACCCAAATAGGAAAATTCACCAAGAGTGATAAATTCCATTTGACGATTCAGGGTTTGAATTTATTGGCTGCGAATGCTAGGCACAAGGTTTGGCTAAAACCCACTTCGGAGATGAGCTTTTTGTACGGGAACAGTGTGTTGAAAGGCGGGGTGGGGAGAATTACTGAGAATATTCAAGTGAATGATGGGGTGGTGGTGTATTCGATGGCTGACGTGCCGTTGGGGTTCGGGGTTGTTTTTAATGAACAATTTCCTATAACTTCTGTTAATGTTATTCATGTTTTAATTTCGTGATTCAATTTATTTCAAGTTTGGTTGAATTCTTGTTTTGAATTGGTCTGCATTTAGCTTAGCATAGTTCTGGTGTTTCTGCACCCAAGCTCTTTAAAAACAAGGAGAAACTCATTTAATTTCTTTCGAGTACATTAGTTTCTTTGCTCAAGTCTTCAATTCAGTAGAACAGACGACCGTTAGTAGAACAGAAGAATTTTCTTTTTTTGCACTTCGGATTTTATTGGTGGTTTAACTGAAATCTTTCATTGTGAACCCCTAGTCTGCTCTGTGCATCAATGAATGGCTTGATGTCAAGTTTCATGAGTCTGTTACTTATTTAATGTAGCCGCAAGCATGACCTTGTGAAATTTCAACTGCTCTAATCTTTTAACTTTGTTAGGTATGGTGGTTGGCAATGGTGTAGGAGTTTATGAATTGTAAATTTTACTTGGGGATAGGAAATTATGTTTGCATCTTGTGACCTCTGTGTAACTATCCATTCTTCAGGGAGTGATGCTATTCATAGTTAACACTGTCGGTAATTATCCTATGTGGCAATTTGTTATTTAATGTACGATGAAATAAAAAACTACCACATTAATGCATCAAAAAACGAACCGTCACATGTAGGGATCAAACCCATCTATATATATAGCAAAAACCCCCCATCAAATTAAGGCTACTATTACCTTCCAATCAACGGTGAAATGAAACCTCGTGAGTGTTGTTTGTAAATGTGGAAAATTGAAACCATAAATGTGGACCATTTATTTCAAAGTGTTGAGAGGTTAGAAGTATCAGTACCTGAAACAAAAGGAGAACTTCTGGAACTACGTCAATGGCCGGAGGTATGAACTCAATCCTTCGATTTTTCGATCCAATTTATTTCAGCCTACTTGTAGTAGTATTCGCTGTGAATAGCATTATTCTAGGACTTCTCTCATCTTCTTCATTGTTGACTTCGACTTTGATTTCATTCATTTGGAATGTCAATATCCTGCCCTTTAAGTCTTGCTCTATGACTCTATTGTATATTCTAATATTGAAGGTCTTCAATTGAGGGGAAGCTGGTTTGAATACTGTGTAGTGTAGTTTAGGATATAGAATTTAAGTTTGAATCTTGTATTATGGAAGAGACTGTCAGTCATCAGCTTTCTACTGGATGAGTTTTTCCAAAAAAAAAAAAACGGGGGGGAAGAAGAAGAAAGAAATTCCTGTATGAAACAAGGCTTGGTATGTTGTTTGTTTCTTGTATTGAGTTTGAATCCTATCCTACCTATAATAAAAGAGTGAAAATTCTGTTCGTTAATGGTGCCCAAAACAGTGATGTTTTGCTACTTTCTTTCCTTTTTTAAAAAGCTTGATGTAAAACCAATGGTCCAAGTAATATTATTAATAAATTAATTAATGATAGTTAATTATCGATAAAATTCTATTGGTCCCTTGAGAAGTGTATGTTTAATGATTGTCCACTTTGATGGAAAGTTGATAGTTTTGTTTTATGACCATGAAATTGTATATCTCTGCCTATAAACGTGAATGAAGCCGGAAAAGAGAGAGAAGGGTTTCTAGATTTCACTAGTTTTTATTTTGCAGATATAAATCTTTCAATTATTGCTAATAGATCAATGTATATTTCTTGATCAGTATGTGAAAATCATGAATTCTAAAAATTTTGGTATTAGGGTTATATAATTGATTACATATGGTATTAGAGCCAATATTAAAGAATTTTTGATTTTCCTTTAAAGATTATTGTTTTCCACTTATCGATCCTTAAATTTTGCTATCGATTTATGGAACAAAATTCATTTGACTACGATTAAGGTTCCGTCCAAATGCTACTAATTATTTCCGAAATTGGGTGGGTCATTTTCTGTTGAAACATGAAATCAAGTCCATATACTATTTTATTCTAAAAAGGAGTAATGATATTTTGTTGAAAAAATCTATACCATCCATGCATTTTGGTCACTGTGGGTTTCACACCATTGAATCAGAATATTATTATTATTATTATTATTATTATTATATATTATTCATGTAGAAGAAAAGAGACTTTAATACGTGTCAGAATGGAAATGATGATTGGAAATTTGGTCTAGTGAAAAAGCATAGACTTTTATTTACTGTTGCAATTACAGTTATCAATGGGTGCCAAAGTTACTGTTGCAATATTTGTGTTTGGGTGCCAAATTTATTGTTACAGTTACCTGGGCTAAAAATATGAATACTTAAGTGTGTTTTGCCTGAACTCCATTACCATTAATTAGTTTATTGTGT